GGGTTTCAAGAGAGCGAGTTTCGCGAGCGTCCGTGACATGAGGATGGCCTCGCGAGCTGCGGGGCGGATTCGCGCATGTGGCCGGGCGCGTGAGTTGGGGGGTGGATTCAGGTACGTGTGTGGCCTGCTCCCTTTCCTCACCACCCACCAAACCACCCCAACCCAACCCGAAGGCTCAGATTTACCCTCGATTTCTAGTGGGGGGGGGTCCGGGAACATCGAAAAAACACATATGGAGCCCATACCCCCCCAACCCGAAATTCGGTTTTTCGGGTTGGGTTGGGGTGGTCTGGTAGGTAGTCATTTCCTCCTCCCCACCGACCATCGCCCTCATTTCCTCATCCCGCTCGCTCGTCCTTCCTGTTTCCCCACTCGGCGGAGGGCCCGTCGAGACAGCCGTGGCTCTCCCATCCGGCCTGGCTCCGTTCAGCATCGGGTTCTGGACCCCTCCTGGGGTCCACCCCGACCCGCTCTTCGGCTGCGAGCGAGGGGGGGGAGAATGAGAAGGAGAAGGCCTTCTCAGCAGGCGGCGGGACGCCTCAGTTTCCTCGCGCGTTCCGATCGGTTTTTTGTGTCTTCGGGGAAGGCTTAGAACAGTCATCCGAAGGCTGGAGGATTTCCGAGCCTTCTGATCAGGCCTGCTCCTTCTCACTGCCCCCCCCCTCGCTTGCCGCCGAGTTCTTCGAGGCGAATCCAGCCCTGGCGACGAGAAGCCTCCGGGAGGTCCAGCGGAGGGACGAGGAACGCCTGGAAGCGCCGCCGCTGTCTCGACTGGCCCTCCTCCGACCCACAGCTTCGAACTGGACTGCATTCCCGACGATGGGGAGTGGAGCCCGTCGTCTGCCAGCGGCGAGATTGGGCCTCCGCCTTCTGAGTCCCTCGCCGCCGCTGCCGCTCGCCCGCCCGTCGTGAACCCCAGTGCGGGCCTTGGCACCTGGGAGTGTGGGCCCCCACCGCGCCCCAAAGGGCCCCGCTCGGCCGCCCGTCGTGAACCCCAGTGTGCCCGTGAGCCTGGCACCTGGAAGTGGGCCCCCACCGCGCCCAGAGGGCCGACGAGCGGCGGCGGAACTGGATCGAGGAAGAGATCCCACGGGCTCGCCGTGTCGTGCAGGGGCTTCTGCGCCTGCATGAGGTGGCGGGTCTCGTGGCGTGCCTGACCTAACCTGATCCTCCGATCCGCAGCCGTCTTGGCTCAGAGGAGGCCGCCGCCCTGAGAGGCGGCGTTGCGAACCATTTGCACCACCGCGAGACATGGCGACCAGAGCCCCAGACCCTATCCACGAGGAGGGGGAGGAGGAGGAGGAGGAGGAGGAGGAGGACGAGGAGGAGCAGAAGGAGGGAGGAGGAGGAGGAGGAGGAGGAGGAGGAGGAGGAGGAGGAGGAGGAGGAGGATGGAGGGAGGAGAAGAGGAGAAGAGGAGGGCAAGGAATCACGACGAGTGGAGAAGGAGGAGAAACATCATGAACCCTCGCTCCCAGAAGAGGAAGAATACCCTCCTCCCTCGAAGCTCGAGGAGGAGGAGGAGGAGGAGAACCTTGAGATACAACGCCGCAGAACAGTACGCCACCTCGAGAAATCGGTGCCTGAGCTGCTGCCCTTTCCGAGCCCGATCGATCGATGGTGGTCCCGGGGTCGAAGCCCGGCGAGAACGCCCGGTGTGGAAAGATTGCAACGCCTGGGATGCCGCGTCTCTCGGACTTCGCGTGGTGCTGCTGCTGCAGGGTGCCCATAGACTCCCACTGCGAGCCTCCGGAGTGCGTCGTCGACGACGTGGCCCCCTCGAGCGTGCACCCAGCGTCCGGGTGCGCCGTCCACCGCGTCGACGTCACCTCCTCGGAGGTTGCCAGATGTGACCCTGGACAAACTGAGATCTCCGACGATACAGCCGGGGCGCTGAAGAAGGAACCCTTTTCGTTGAGGAGGGGCTCCGTGTTCCTTGATTGCCTGACATTTTTTCTCAGCTTTTCCTAAGGTTTTCCATGGGAAGCTGAAGTTTAGCTCAAGGGAAAGGGGGGCCTCGTTCTTTATTTAGGGTTCCTTCGGTCAACGCCCCGACTGTAGTTCAGAGGAGGATAAGGTACTGCTACCGCTGCTCTTCCCCCGTAAAAGGGGGTCCAGGGAGTATCCTGGCATCGCTCGGACGTGTGCATTTTTTCTCGGCGCGAACCATTGAGGACGATCCTGGACCATCGAGCAAAAAAACACGCACGAAACCGAACAATGCACGGGAAATGGACGTCCGAGCGATGGCGAGGTATCGATATCGGCATCTTCCCCCAGATCTTCGACGATCCGATGTTTGAGTCGCGTCGTTTTCCCTTGGGGTCGGCCTCTGCTGCCCATTATCGGTCTCCTCTCTCGCTCTCCTCCTCCTCCTCCTCCTCCTCCTCCTCCTCCTCCTCCTCCTCCTCCTCCTCCTCCCCCTCCTCCTCCTCCTCCTCCTCCTCCTCCTCCTCCTCCTCCTCCCTCTCCTTCTTCTCCTTCTCATTCTCCTCCTCCTCCTCCTCCTGCTCCTCTTCCTACAGCCAGATTTCTCGACATATGCCCTAACCGTTCCCCTCGGCTGCCACCCGCGGCAGCCTCGAGTCTGCCGGCGCGCCCTGCTGGATGCATGGACTCTGCTTGCCTGGATCATCATGAATGGTCTGGGGACGAAGAACTCACCACCCACCAAACCACCTCAACCCAACCCGAAGGCCCAGATTTACCCTCGATTTCTAGTGGGGGGGGGGGTCCGGGAACATCGAAAAAACACATGTGGAACCCTTACCCCCCCCAACCCGAAATTCGGGTCTTCGGGTTGGGTTGGGGTGGTCTGGTAGGTAGTCAAGAACTATCCCCGGGAAAAGGTGCAGGACCCCTGGGGCTGCGCGTTGAACAATTTGGCATCGCGGGAAATCTGGGAGGGTTCCCCCAGCTTTTCGCGCCACTTGAGGGCCGATGTCGATTCGATCAACCCGGTCCGGCGTCGAGTTCTCCGGGCCAAATCCGATCCGATTCCAGCTTCCTAGCGATCCGATGCGGCCCGATGCCTGCACTGGCGCTGCTGTGCATCCTTGCGCGGCCGATCTGGTTAGACGGTTCGATTTCCACTTGGTGCCGATGCAGTCTGAGCTGGCGCACATTCCGATCCGATCCGATTTCCCGATTCGATGCTGATTGATCTTGGCCTCACTGAGGGCTCCCTGGAGCCCGTTTCTTTCTTGCTTGGGGCATGACGGGCTTCATGGCCCCCAGCCCCCCCCCCAGGACGTAACGTTACGCTCCCCCTCCCAGTGCGTTCCGGGCACTGCCGCCGTGCGCATCGTGATCCGCATAGGTGTCCGCATAGGAATCCGCATAGTAGTCTGGTCTGCAGTCGTCGTCGTCGTCGTCGCCGTCGTCGTCGTCGTCGACGTCGCTCGTCGCTCGTCGCTCGTCGCTCGTCGCTCGTCGTCGTCGTGCGCGCGGACACAGCTGGAGCCAGTTTCCTTATTCCGGGCCGATGACGGCAATCATCTGAGGGGGGGTGGAGGGGGCCGATGACGTCACGTTTCGCGCCGGCGGCGTCTGGGAATGCCTAGGAATCGCCGAAGACGGATAGCAGCAGCATGTCGATGGCGATATGCACCTCAACGCCTGTGTACGCCATAGTGCCTGCGTGCACCACAGCGCCTGTGTACACCATGCCGCCTATGTACACCACAGCAGCCGCGTGCATCACAGCGCCAGTGCGTGCCACAGTGCCTGCTGGCACCACAGCGCTTGTGTACACCACAGCGCCTGCGTACACCACATCAGCTGTGTGCACCACAGTGCCAGTGTACACCACAATGCCTGCGTGCACTTAGCACGGCACCAGTGAATAGACCATTCTGCGGTGCACGCTGAGGCGCGCACGTGCGCTGTAGTGCCGGCCCGCACGACAGGGGGCAAGGGTGAGGGAGGATGAGGAGGAGGACGAGGAGGAGGAGGAGGAGGACGAGGAGGAGGAGGAAGCAGAGGCGGAGGTGGCGTGGCGTTTAGGTGTCCGCAGCAGATCCTCACCGACATGCTCCTTCTACCTGTCCTGTGCACGCAGGCGCTCTGGTGTACACCAGCGCTGCGTTGCACGCGGATGCTGTGGTGTAGACAGGCGCTGTGGTGTGCACATGCGCTGCGGTGCACGTACGCACTGTGGTGTAGGCAGGCGCTGTGTTGCACATGGCTGCTGCGGTGTACACATTCGCTGTGGTGTACACCAGCGCTGTGGTGCACGCAAGCACTGTGGTTTACACAGGCACTGCGCTGCACACGGCTGTTGCGGTGTACGCAGGCGCTGCTGTGGTGTACACAAGCGCTATGGTGCACCACGCGAGCATTGTGGTGTACACAAGCGCTGCGGGGCAGATCGCCACCTACATGCTGCTCGCGTCGTCGTCGTCGTCGTCGTCGTCGCTCGTCGCTCGTCGCTCGTCGCTTATCGTCGTCGTGCGCGCGGGCGCGGCTGTGGTGCCGGAGCCGCACGGCGGGGGGGGGGGCGTTACGTCATACTCCCCCAGCCCCCCCCCCATGACGCCCGTCATCGCCGATAGAGAACGCGCTCCTGGAAATCCTGGGGACATCTTGGTCAGGATGCAATTCCTGGAAGTGTGAATGCAGCATCGGCGCTGGTAAATCCGTGGTCGAAAACGGGCCTCATCCGGCATAATCCCACCAAATCTTTCTTAATCCGTTTTAATTCCGGCCTTACTCTGGGTTGTTCCAGCGTAGTGGCCCCCTGATTGAGCCTAGTAGCCAGTAATCGTTCTTACGAATGCCTCCCAGGAGTTGCATTCTAACGTTGAGCCAGGGACACCTTTGGCAACACCTGTAATCGCCCCCCGCCCCTTCCTCCACCTCCGCCTCTGCCGCCCGCACCGTGCGCTTCGTCTGTGTGTCGGACACCCACGGGTTCCACCGCAAGTTGAACCTGCCCGACTTCGGGGACCCAGAGGGCACGGTGCTGCTGCACTGCGGCGACTTCACCGGCGGCACGAAGTACGGGCCCGAGCAGGCTCCCGGGATATCCGACGATCTGTTTTTTCAATCTTGGCGTTTCTCTGCGACCTCAGCCTTCCGGGCCCGTTATCGGACCCCCGGACCATCAAACACGGATCTGGGGCGAACAGCCACAGTCAACCTGCATAGCACGGATGAGCGACTTCCCCTTTGGCCTCTCCTTGGGCGGTTCCGCTAGCCGCGCCCCGCTCGCAAAGTGTCGAAGTGGCCTTCCAGGGCCTTTGCATCCTTTTCGTGCGTACTTCTTATTCGGGTTGACTGCGCCCTTGGGCAAGAGGTCGGCAGCTCTGGGGCCGCGGTTGGAGCAGATCCCATCGGCGGCGGCAGGCCGCGCCGATCCTTGCCCTGGCCCGGCCGGGACCTCAGGCTGGGCGAGAGTTCCTCCCTCTCCTGCTTTCGAGGGCGGCCGAGAGTCAGGAGCGAAAGCAGGACGTACAAGCGCATGAACCCAGGTTGGTTTCGAGACTGCGCATTGCGCGAATGTTCGTGTCACGCGGCCGGTCTCGCGGAGGGGGCCATCTTCATGTACATGATTGGGCGCGTAGGTCCTCTGTGGATTCCCCTTAAAGGGGGGGGGGTGATGACTAGGGGCGGGTAGGTATCATGGCGGGGGCCATGACATTCCCCAGATTTCATGGCGCCTCTTATTCCAATGCGTCCCCAGCCCCCTTCCTCTGGGCCGCGCACATGCCGCCAGCCATGGTTTGCGCTTCCCCCTGTTGGACGCTCCCCTCTTGTATTCCCCCGATGATTGACTATAGGATGCCAGAATTTTCTGGTCGCGACCGACGAGATCGGTCGCTGCCGATTTTGCTTCACATTCCAGGATCAGTTCCGACCGTTTTGCTTCAAGATATATCGCGGCCGATGCGGAGTGCCGATCTGTCGCTAAATCTGGTATCCAATGATCTGGTATCCAATGATATGAAGGCATGTCTTTATTACATCACCACTATAACTCTTGACGTTCATGCATCCCCACCAGCCCATCCAGAAACAATTGCCAGGGAGTTGCTATAGTGAGAGCAGAGTAGAAGCCTGCATTGTAACGGACCGCTGTGGAAGCGCATCAAGGGGCGCAGAAACGCGGGAATATGGTTTCAATCATATAACAAATGTTTCCCTGCTGCCCCGGCTTTATTTGGATCTTCTGGGATGACTTATTGGTGTTCTTTTGCATGTCTTGACGGGTCTGGAGAAGCCTAATGCGCAAGCGGGGGAGGAGGAGGAGGAGAGGGAGGAGGAGGAGGAGGAGGAGGAGGAGGAGGAGGAGGAGGCGGAGGAGGCAGAGGAGGAGGAGGAGGAGGAGGAGGAGGAGGAGGAGGAGGAGGAGGGAGGAGGGAGGAGGGAGGAAGGAGGAGGGAGGAAGGAGGAAGGAGGAAGGAGGAAGGAGGGAACGCTGCACGAGCTTTGAGCTTTCTCGGGGGAGGAGGGGGAACAGTGGGGGGTCAAGGCTCCATAGCCAGCAAAAGAGGGGCCCCCTCTTTGCAGGATCTTTTGGAAGCTCTCTGCAGGCTCTTTGCAGGGGGGACCCTGCAAAGACCCTGCACAGACCCTGGAAAGGGGGAGTCTTGGAGGCCTCTTGAGGCGACCTTGGGCCCAATGCATCAAACAAGGGGTGTCACGGATTCAGGCTCCCCGCTCGGAGGCTCAAACAGGGCGCTTTGGGGCTCTTTTGGGCCGCTCTTTCGATGCTTTTTGGCGCTCTTGGGGCTCTCTTGGCGCCCTCTTGGGCCCCTTGGGGCTCTCTTCGGCCGTCTTGGCGCCATCCTGATGCCCGGGAAGCCCATCGGAAACGAAAAGGCGAGAAAGCAAACAACATTATGTTTCCGTATGTTTTGAAGAATCTGGGCCTTTTGGGGGGTCCTCGGAGAGCGCGGAGGGCCCTTGGAAACGTCTTGGGGCTGTCTTGGGGCCGTTGGAGGTATGTAGCCGGATATCTAACGCCATCTTGAGCTGTCCTGAGTCATCTTGGAGGCAATCTTGGGCTTTCTGAGGCTCTCTTGGAGCGATCTTGGGCCATCTCGGGAGCTCTAACTATCTGCGCCCCCCCCCCCCCTCCCAGGCCCAGGGGAGGGGGTACTAGGGGGAGTGGTCAAGCTACCCACCCGCCCGCAAGCCGTCTAGCTCAGTCCCACCCGCCCTCCCTACATGGGCATGAGCCGTCTGCTCAGCATCATTCGAGCCTGAGCATGTTCAGCGGTCGTCTTTGGATGGACAGCTACTGGGAACCAAAGCCGATCCCAGGTGCGCGACGCTTGGGGGAGGTGCGCCACGCGTGCCACGGGCGCCACGCGCGCCAGGCACCCCTGGGGCCCGAAAGTGCCAGGCACGCTTGGTGCGCCAGATGCGCCACGTGCTCCGAGTGCGCCAGGTGTGCCGCACACTCCAGCCGCGCCAGGTGCGCCGCGTTCGGGGCACGTGAAGGGTGCGTCAGGCAAGACATCCTCCTAGATGGCAAGCCGTCTAGCTCACTCTCACCCGCCATCCCAACACATAAGTAACACCCGAGCCTCAGCATGTTCAGCGGGTGTCTTTGGATGGTCAGATACTAGAAACCAAAACCGACCCCATGTGCGCAACGTTGGGGCGAGGTGCGCCACGCGTGCCAGGCGCGCCACGCGCACCGGGCACCCTTGGGGCCCGAGCGTGTGCCAGGCACGCCTGGTTCGCCAGATGCGCTACGTGCTCCACGTGCGCCAGCTGTGCCGCATACTCCAGCCTCGCGAGGTGCACCGCGTTCGGGGCACGTGCAGAGTGTGTTAGGTGCGCCTGCGCCCGTGACAGCACACATCGGGAAACATGTCGGCCCCCACCATCTTTGTCGAAAGCCAGTGCCCATCATGGTGTCTGGTGGGCCTGCACACAGCAGTTCATGCGCCACCACCCCCGCCGTCCCTGTTCAAAACCACTTCACAGTGATCGCGGGGTGGCCGCGCATGATCCAGATTGAGCCGCGAGGTGCATGTTGTATTTTTTGACAGGGATGGTGGCCCTGCGCACAGCAGGCAATATGCTGACACCCCTGCCGTCCCTGTCAGAGGACAACTACAAAGTGCCCGCGGGCCTCACGAACATGTCTCAAGACTTTGCCCCGAAGTGTTCTTTGCATTGTTTTTGACACGGATGGTAGAGGAGACCCATATCGGGTTGGTTGCGCAGGCTCCGAATTTGAAGGCAGAGTGTATTTTGCATTGTTTGTTGAAAGGGATGTCGGGCGTCGGGCGTCGGTCGTCCGTTTTCGGTCGTTCTTCGTCGTCGCCGGCGTCGTCGTCGTCGTCGTCGTCGTCACCGTCGTCGTCGTCGTCGTCGTCGTCGTCGTCGCTCTCTCTATGCGCGAGGAGGGCGCGCGCGTCGAACCCTGCGCCAAGGGTGGGCATGGCCCGGATCGGTGCTTCCTCCCCCCTAAACACAGGCCCCGGGAGGCGCCGCGGGCGTGCGCGACTTCAACTCCTGGCTCGCGGAGGTCCCCTACCGACACAAGGCTTCTATGATGTTCCAACCTACATTAGCCTTGATCACCAGAGAGTCTCGAGCACCAGGAACATACCGAAGCTGGGGGGAATTCACGTGTGGGGCCCTGGGAGGCGATACTCGTACGACACTGTTTCGATACTTCTCTGGGCGCTCGAAATTCATGCGTGGATGTGATCCTTAAGTACTTTGGGATCAGCATCACGCAAGGTCGTCGTGTGTGGCAACCACGAGACGACGGTGCCCGCCGACCCCGCCCGGGCGCGGGGGCTGCTCTCCAGCGCGACGCACTACCTCTGCGCCGAGGCTGCCGAGGTGTGCGGCCTGAAGGTCTTCGGCGCCCCGCACCACCCCGGCCGCGGCTGCTGCTACCGGAAGGACGCCTTCGGTGCGTCGCTGCCCGAGCGGGAGAAGGTCTTCTCGCGCGTGCCGCCGGGCACTCCGCAGCGTCCAACCTATCTCCAGCCCCACTGGGCCATGGCAATGGTATCTCAGCCCCACCAGCCCGCCCTCCCAGGCGGGGATGGGGCCCGCGAGGCTGGAAGACACATGCGTGTATCCCCCTCCCCCTCCCCCCTTTGGTGGGCAAGTCGGCCAGTCGGGCTGGGGATACAGTGCGGAGGCCCATGCCAAGAAACGCCCTGTTGGCCTCCAGGGTGCCCTGAGTTTCTGGGGGTTCGATGGTTCTGATGTGGGAAGCGTGACGTTCCCACACCAACAATCAATGGACGTCTTGAGGTCTCAGGGTTGGGTTTCTTGTGGAAGGTTCCTTGTGGTCGGGCCCCTACTGTAGGGATCGGTTGAACGATGCTCAGGCACGCACCTGCTGGCCACCCACTGCCCGCCCTACTCCGTGCGCGACGCCGAGAGGCCAGGCCCCGTCGGGTGCGGGGCGGCGCTGCTGGCGCTCCGCCGGGTGCAGCCGGTCGCCCACGTCTTCGGGCACGCAGTGGCATCGTCAGGGGGGGATGGGCTCGGAGGGGGACGCATCGACCCGCAGGCGCCCATGCAGCACCGCGAGAAAGGGGCCCGGTGGCCCTGGTCCGCCCGAGGCACGTGCAGAGCCGCCATCGGGGGCCCGTCGCCGACCTGTCGGCGACGCGTCGCCGCCTGGAGCTCGATGTGCCTCCCCCCCCACTGCGCCCAGGAACGCGCGGAGTCGCTCTCGGGGGCCCATCGCGATCCGTCGGCGGCGCACCTCATGTCGCCGGCTCGAGCTCGACGTCCCTCCCCCCCCCCCCCTCTCTAGCCGGCCCCCCTTCACGCTGCACCCGCAGGGGCCCGCAGGCACGTGCACCCGCACCGCGGGGTCAGCCGCATGTGGCACGCGGTGGGCGGCGGGGGCGGCGCGCGGGGCGCGCACGAGCCTGGGCACCCCGCGGCGGCCGCGGTGATCGGCGCCGCGTCGGGGGCTGCGCTCGGCGCCTCCCAGCGCGGCGCCGAGCCCGCGAGCGGCGGGGCCCTCGAGGCGGAGCTCAAGAGGAGGAAAAGGTGCCCATGCCGCTGCCCTTCGCCCGTTTGCCCCTCGCGTCGCTCTCCTGGCAGGATCTCGTCGCCACCGGAGGGTTCGCCTCGAGATCCTGGTCAGAGCGCACCCCGGGAGGGGTCCAGTGAGCAGTGGTATCGGCACCTCTTGCTTTCCCCAGGAGGCGGCGCCGGCCGCGTCGGCGTCCACGCTGCTGGTCAACGCCGCGTCCATAGGCAACGCGGAGGCGGCCGAGCGAGGCGGCGTCGCCCCGCCGTACGTCCTGGAGTTCGTGATTCACAGCGGCGCCGGGGCAGCGGCGGCAGGGGGCGGTTAGAGTGCAGGCGTTGATGTACACATGTTCCACCACCACTACCACAGGTAGGGCGGGGGAGAAGGGAGAATGGGGAGGTTCACCTCCTCCTTTCCTCCTCCTCCCCTCCTCCTCCTCCTCCTCCTCCTCCTCTTCTTCCTCCTCCTCCTCCTCCTCCTCCACCTCCTCCTCCTCCTCCTCCTCCTCCTCCTCCTCCTCCTCCCTCTCTTACCTATGGTAGTGGTGGTGGGGAGTCGGCCCATCAGGCGTGGTCGGCAAGACAGGTCGCCGTCGACTGGGCTCTGCTGACCTGCGCACACGTCGACTACACGCAAGAGCTACCTTTCCCTGGAGTGACCTTGGGTGCGCGCCCACTGGGGCCCTCGATCGACGAGTGCGGTGCGATAGTGGCGTCCTGCGCGCTCGTGCTTGGCCACCCCGCGTCCACCGTTAAGCCGCGCACCGAAGGCCACTCTTGCCTAGGGTCACTCTTGCTTGCGTGTGGCCGAGCACCGCGCTCCCGGGTCGACCGTCAGGGCACCAAGCCCCTGGCTCGCTCTGTGCCGCGGGCTGCTGGCGTCGGTACGACAATCAGGATGGGAAAAAACACACAGACACAATTAATCGTCGACCCCCCAGAAAATATAGGAAAATATGGGAAGTGGGGGGGAAGACAAAAACCCAGAAAATATGAGAAAACATGGGGAATATTTTCATTTGTGTGTATTTGTTTGTGTGTCCCAGGGCCCCTTCAGACAGGTCGGAGCCGAGGCGGAGGCGCAGGCATGATCGAGAAAGGCTGGCGTGCGACTCCTCCCTCTCGTCCTCGCTCCGGCGTGCTGGCCTCCCTGCAGGTCCTGTCAATCCTTTGTCTCGCCACGAAGGGCAGGCTCCGATGCAGTGGGTCGTTTCAGCATCGCTCCCCCTCCTCCTCCTCCTCCCTCCTCCCTCCCTCCCTCGTCCTTATCCTCCTTTCTGCTCTTCCCTCTTCTCGTCCTTGCTCCTGATGCATCGCTCCCCTCCTGTCGCAACGCCGGACACGCTCGTAAACTGGGCTGGCCTTCTGGTTGCTGTGTATCATGCCGACGCAGAGGAGCTCCAACATATAGAAGGATGGAGGCCACTCGTGTTCTAGATGCGGCTCTTAAGCGCCGCGCGTATTCGTCTCCATCGCTTGCAACAGCTACGTGAATGGAGGCCGGTCCATTTTCAAAATCGGTTTATCGCATTACACATTTGTCTTCCATGTTTGCAGCAGCTAGGGATGCCAGGTGGGCCCTTTTCCAAACCAGTCGGTCCACCAATTCAGCGACGCGCACATCCGTCTGTAGAGCTTGCAAGAATTCTAGGTTGGAGGACGGCTCCTTTTCAATGTTGAGTTGTCGATTGGTTTTTGATTTGCTTGAACACGGGGAGATTGAACATACATGTAGCCATTGCCAGTATTGAGCTCGGCTTATTTTCAGATCATGATTCTCGCTGGAGACCTTCGCCATATGTCATGACCATCCGTGTAATGTTGCGCACCAACTGCACAGGTGGGGGCAGCTTATTTTCAAAACTGAAATCTGGCTGAGCACCTCGTCGAGCTTTATGATCTTGCCTCACTGCATGATTTCCATCACTTTGCCAAACGGATGCAAGGCAAGTCCTTATCAATTCGGGGCTTTCGCTCGAATGCCATGCCAATGGCGTGTTTGTGTTTCAAGGGGGCGCGTCCTGTATTGGAGAGGAAAGCTTACGGCGACTAATGAGGAGGGGACTTGGGACGGGATAGTGTGTTGCAGCATCGATGTCGCATCCTAGGATTACGCTTGCATTCCCAGATGAGGATTACAGTGATGTTGAGGTTGTCGCTGTTGATGGTGATCGGGATGATGATGCTGATGATGATGATGTTGTTGATGCTGATGCTGGAAAGGGTGATGCTGCTGCTGCTGATGCTGCTGATTATGTTGAGGATCCTGCTGATGACGATGATGATGACGAGCATGATGCGGAGGAGGATGGTGAGGATGATAAGTATAGTGGTTTTGATGCTGCTGTTGATGATGACGATTATGTTGATGATGCTGATGCCGATGATGATGATGATGATGATGATGCTGATTATGTTGATAATGTTGGTGATGATGCTGTTTATGCTGATGGTGATGACGATATTGATGATGATGATTATCATGGTGATGATGCTGATGATGCTGACGATGACGATTATACGGATTATGCTGATGATGACGATGCTGTTGATGCTGCTGATGCTGATGATGATGCTGATGCTGATGCTGATGCTGCTGATGATGATGATGATGATGATGTTGATGCTCATGCTGCTGCTGATGATGATGATGATGATGGTAATGGTGATGGTGACAATGCTGCTGTTGCTGATGGTAAGGATGGTGATGATGACGAGGATGATGATGATGATGATGATGATGATGATGATGATGATGATGATGATGATGATGATGATGATGGTAATGGTGATGGTGATGGTGATGATGATGATGATGATGATGCTGTTGATGATTGTGATGATGATCTCTATCATGCTGCCCATGGTGAGAGTGATGGTGATGCTTATCTTGGTGGTGATGATTGCCACGGTAGTGATGACGCTGGTGCTGATGAGGATGAGGAGGAGGATAAGGAGGAGGATGAGAAGGAGGTGGAGGAGGATGATGAGGAGAATGATGATGAGGAGGAGATGTAGCTGGAGGAGCAGTGGAGGGGGAGGGCGGGAGGGCGGAGAAATGAGGGAGAAGGGGGGATGGAGCTTGGAGGGAGGAGGAGGAGGACTATGAGCATGAGGATGAGAATATGGATGAGGAGGAGAAGAAAGAGGAGGCCCCCCCCGGCATGTCTTGAGATGCGTTCTCACCAAGGTTTCGAGGCGGATTTAGCCGCGGGACGTGCCCCCCCCCCTCCCCCCCGAGAGTCGCACACAAGTCGCCAAACAACAAGCAGTAACCGGTGCTCGATTCTTGACCCTCCTCCTCGCCCCTTCCTCCACCTCCCACCCCTCCTGTCGGGACGATCGAATGGAAGCAATGGGTCCGATGCCCAGCAGCAGTTCCTGTTCATTTTCAGCAGGACTCGCTGTCCGCACCGCCGTGGACGTTGCTCATTGAGGACAAAAAACCGCCCGCCCAGCAGCGGCCGCTGTCGGTTTTGGACAGCGTGTGTTGTTGGGCATTGTATCCATTTTCTCCGTACACATTTCGGGCGTCCAGATCCTGGAGGAGGAGGAGGCTCCTTTGGGGGGCGTCGGGCGCCCGGAAGGCAACTGCGATGTCGCCCGCGCTGGCCGGCGCCCGGCTGCAGCTGGGCAGCGCGCCCTCCTTTAAGAAGGACCAGCCGCCGCCGCTGTAGTGGCCGTCGTCGTCGTCGTCGTCGCTCGTCGTCGTCGTCGCTCGTCGTCGTCGTCGCTCGTCGTTGTCGTCGTCGTTGCCGTCGTCGTCGTCGTCGTCGTCGTCCTCGTCGTCGTCGTCGCGGTCGCCGCCACCCTCGCCGCCGCCATCGTCGTCATCGTCGTCGTCTTCGACCCACAACCCTGAGATCCGGGCGTTACGATTTTATCACGCCCGGCTTTTCCGCGCAGCTTGGCCCCCCGGGTCATCACACATCGAGCCAGCTTGAAAGATGCAGTAGACAGATTGGGTTTAGGATCCAGTCGCAATTTTCGCGATGCAGTATTTTTTGCGACGTCGGATCACAGGGTCGTCGTCGTTGTGCCGCCGGCGTCGGCTGTAGGTCGTCGCTGTCGTCCGCCGATACTACTGCTGCCACTGCTACGACTTCTGCTACTCGTGCTACTGCTACTACCATGCCCACCACGTTACCTCCAGGGCCCGTTACTATCATGACACTCTGACCTCAAACTTCGTGATGCTTCCAGTGTTCAGTGTTTGGCCCCCGAAGCCCTCGACTCTTTCCATGGGATGTGTTCACCTTAACTACTTTCGAAAAGTAATACGTTACATAACGGCACAATTTCTCGGTGGTCGGATCGGCGCTGGACCCAGGGTCTGGCGTAGCGATCCAAGAAATCCGCGCGGAGCGCTGACTGTTACTTGGTGGTCAGTTGTTTGTTCTTATCCGCAGTGAGCTTCTGTTGCTATTTGACGCTGTGCTGACGGTCCTGGGGCCCGCGACCAGGGGGGTGGTCAGATTTGAGTAAAGAACAGCAGCGCTGGGATTGAAGAAGCTATGTCGTCGGAGCTCTGGCCTCATGGAGGGTCCGAAGGTCTCTGGGGAGGCTCAACAGCGACCAGAAGCCCTGATCCTCGATTCTCGAACCTCTCCACCAACGTAGATAAAGGGGGGCGTTTTGGCGTTTTGGGATCGCTCCTCCTGCTCATCATCCTCCTTCTCCTGCTCCTCCTCCTCTTCCTCGTCCTCGTCCTCCTCCTCCTCCTCCTTTTCCTCTATGGGTAATGGGGCTGCCTGACTGCGTCCGAGATGGAGGAGGAGGAGGAGGAGGAGAAGGAGGAGGACGAGGAGGAGGAGGAGGCGGAGGAGGATGAGGAGGAGGAAGAGGAGGTGGAGGAGAAGGAGGAGGAGGAGGAAGAGGAGGAGGAGGAGGATGAGGAGGAGGACCTCGGTCGGGCCAGGTCGGGCAGGCGGCCTACGCAAGCTTCTCGGCGAGGAAAGGACATGGAGGGCGGGGGGGAGGCGGTCAGGAACTCCTGGGGGGCGGATGGGGCAGGAGGGAGGTGCAGGAAGGGCGGAAGGGAGGAGGGAGGGAGGAGGGAGGGAGGGTGGGAGGAGAGGGAGGGAATCGCAGGAGGAGGAGGAGGAGAAAATGAGGATGAGGAGAAAGGTGAAGATCGGAGAAGGAGGAGGAGGAGGAGGAGGAGGAGGAGGAGGGAGGATCAGGAGGAGGAGGAGGAGGAGGAGGAGGAGGAGGAGGAGCAGTGCTGAGCGTCTGGCCAGCGTCCAATAGCAGGAGGGCGGGGCCCCAGGGAGAGCGCTCCTGGCTGCCCCGGTGGGAGGACAGCGCCGTCGTGCCCCTGCCCGTCGCGAGCTACTCGCGGAAGGCTTTAGGCGCCCCCCCTGCCCCGCAGGCGGCGGGCCCTCCTCGGAGCTCGGGGGCAGCGCGGAGGAGGAGGAGGAGGAGGAGGAGGAGGAGGAGGAGGAGGAGGAGGAGGAGGAGGAGGAGAAGGGGGAGGGGGAGGGGGAGGGGGAGTGGAGGACAGGGGCTCGAGATCCAAAGTCTTCGGACGTCTCGGTTCTCGGCGGCTGTCCAGCCTCGGGGCGGTGGCTGGCAGCTGCGCCTCGTCGCGAGCTTTCGGGGGGTGCCCGGATTGTCCCGAGCGGCCGCCCGGGTGGACGACAGGGGTTCGAGGTCCCAGACATGATCGCGTCGCAAAAAAAAACAGGACGGGAGGTTTGTGGCAATATTCGGCATCGGGGGGCCCTCGCCGGGTCTCGGGACCGTCAGAGAACAATTCAGGATGAAAAACCGGTCCCAGGGAACAGGTCGGGACTTCAGCGTCCTGACAAAAATCAGGACGTCGCATATTTGGGGTTCGAAATCTTTCACCACCCACCAAACCACCCCAACCCAGTCCGAAGGCCCCGATTGGCCCTCCATTCCCG